AATCTAGGTGCGTCTTATGGAGCGAAAAATAAGGTACTTCTTCAGAATAACAAAAGGTAGGAATCTACAACAAAGTTTGTTAAAATCCTTGAAATTTACATAGATCGCCCAGAGGGGAATGTTTTTTTTTTTTTCCCTCAACAAAGGCTGGAATTACTCTTTAAAGGGAAATCACGTCTAAAGGGATGCAGACCCTGCTACTTTCCTCATTAGAGCCCTGCAAGTGCAGCAGCTGATCGATAATTATAATATTTCCATATAGATTCACTCTCTAAATGGACACAACTCAGCCCCACCAAGGGACACAGCAGAACCCCCCCAGGAACTGGACTACTCACCATTTTGCTAGGTGGATCTGAAGGCTGCAGTGATTCTTCAAATCCGGAATCCTGTTCAGATACGGAGCATGGTGAACTTACATCTTTGTGAGGAGAGATCAAAGGTTGCGCTAATTCTTCAAGTCTAGGGATCTGGTTGAACATTGAGCATGCAGGGGAACTTGCATGGCTGGGAGGAGACATCAAATGCTGCCCTGAATGTGCAGGTTTGGGGGCCTGGGATGGCACTGACCAGGCAGATTTTATCACATAGCTACGAGCAGAAACCTGAGGAATTGTTTCTTCAAATCTGGGGGGCTGGTGGGACACTGAGCATCCAGATGCAGTCAAACGGTAGTGATGAGCAAACCGAGGCTGCGTTGAATCTTTAGGTCTGGTCTGGTGATACACTGAACTAGTAGATACACTTGCATGGTAGGGTGGACGAAGCAGAGGCTGCAATATACTTTCGTGACTGGGCTCTTGGAAAGATAGGGGGCTTGCAGATGTATTTGCATGGGTGTGAGGAAAGATCAGAGGATGCTGCGATTCTCCAAATCTGGGGGCCTGGTGGTTCACTGGGCAAGCAGATACATTTGCATGGTCACGTGGAGGAAGTAAAGACCGCAGTACATCTCCACGTCTGGGCACCTGGTGGGACACTGGGCTTGCAACTGCATTTGCATGTGTGTGAGGAGAGATCAGAGTGTGCGGGGATTTCCCAAATCTGGAGGCCTGGAGGTTCACTGTGCATCCAAATAGATTTGCAGGACCAATTGGAGGAAGCACAGTCTGCAGTGAATCCCCATGGCTAGGCACCTGGTGAGATGCTGAGCTTGCAGATGCACCCACATGGCTGCAAGGAGAAGGGAAAGGTTGCTTTGCTTCTCCAAGTCTAGGGTCCTGGTAGGCCACCAAACATTGAGAGATATGCAAATGGTGAGGAACAAGCACAGCCTGTGGTGAAAATCCATGTTTTAGTGCTTGGTGAGACACCAAGTAAGCAGTTGGATGAAATAGACAAGATCTCTTCTTGGGGTGCTTGTAAAGCAAAAGCATCTGGACAGCAATCTTCTAGTTTCAATCTCCAGCCTTGAAACAGGAGAGCTGAGAAAGAAGTCTTCTCTCCTTAGACCCCAACACTGAACTAAGGCTGACTTCCTGTACATGTGCCCTAGAGGTGGGGCTAAGCCTTCTACCTCTGGATGCCCAGCCTTCTAAAAGGAAACCACCTACCTTGTGCCCTGTTTTCCAAATGCCTCAAAACAGAAAGAGGGGAAAAAAAAAAAGCTTTGGTTTTACTGTCCTAGCTTTGTATTTTATAACCATCTGAGCACTCTACTGTTCAGCCCTAAGTTGCACATATTTATGCTTCTGTATATATTTGCTGTCTTTTGCACTTCTTTGTAAACCTTCAGATGCTTAATAGTAAACGTACATTTTAACTAAATGGCATTAGTGTGCCAAGACACTGTGTTTTAACCTCCTCGGCGGTATGATTCTTTCCGATTTTTTGTGCTAAAAAGCGGTACCATTTTTTGCATGGAAATATGTAGTTTTTTTATTGTAGGCTGTAATTTTTAGGAATAACTCACTGAAATCTGTCCGAACAAGAGTCTAGTAAACATCCCGAATATGATAAAACTTGCAACACAAAATCATAAATTATAATTTAATAAATAATCATAAAAAAAATAATAATATAATAATAATAAATTTAATTCAATAATATAATCAAACCAAAAACACTGAAATTTGAAATACAGAGGCAAATTTGCACATCGCTGAGCAAAGTTGCAAAATCGTTTTCAGTGTCTGATGACGAATTTCCCCCACGAATCATTATCACTCAATTCTGCAAGTGGTGATGTAAAGGGATGCTTTTTGGACGCCATGGACTTTTCTAAGTTTCCAGGCAGAAAGAACAGTCAAAATGCAGGCAGGGCGCAGGACAAAGCAGTAGGGACAAAATATATGTGAAATGCATTGAAACAGCAATGACAGCAAAAATGATATTTTTTAAAAATTTCAAATTTCCCGCCGGCACCCGTCCGTCCCGACGTCACAGGGACTGGAACACGGAAGCCGGATGCCGGCATCAGCTGGAGGAGATGGCCGGGGACGATGCAGGGGACACATCGCGGGAGCGAAGGACAAGATAAGTGCTGCAGGGACCCCCTGAACAACGCCGCATGGTAAGCCCGAGTGTAGCTCGGGGTTACCGCTCTTGGTATTGAAATTTTACCCCGAGCTACACTCGGGAATACCGCTAAGGAGGTTAAGCAATTTAACATTTTTTGCTTTCACCTTTTTTCATCCTTTGTTACATCTCAGTACTGCTGATCTTCTTGCTGTCTCATGGCAGCCTCTTCTTGTCTGTATGAACTCCAGCAATGGCTGCATGGGATTTCTCAGAGCGTGACAACAGTGGACCATGCCTGCAGAATATGCACTGAAAAGGCCATACAGTGGATATAAAAAGTCTACACACCCCTGTTAAAATGTCAGGTTTCTGTGATGTAAAAAAATGAGACAAAGATAAATCATTTCAGAACTTTTTCCACCTTTAATGTAACCTACAAACTGTACAACTCAGTTGAACAAACAAATCTTTTAGGTGGAGGGAAGTAAAAATAAAAACTAAAATAATATGGTTGCATAAGTGTGCACACCCTTAAACTAATACTTTGCTGAAGCACATTTTGATTTTATTACAGCACTCAGTCTTTTTGGGGAGGAGTCTATCAGTATGGCACATCTTGACTTAGCAATATTTGCTCACTCTTCCTTGGAAAAACACTCAAAATCTGTCAGACTGAGGGCATCTCCTGTGCACAGACCTCTTCAGATTACCCCAGATTTTCGATCGGATTCAGGTCTGGGCTCTGGTTCGTCTGGGCCATTCCAAAACGTTCATCTTCTTCTGGTGAAGCCATTCCTTTGTTGATTTGGATGTATGCTTTGGGTCGTGTCATGCTGAGATGAAGTTCCTCTTCATGTTCAGCTTTCTAACAGATGCATGAAGGTTTTGTAGCAATATTGACTGGTATTTGGAACTGTTTATAATTCACTGTACCTTTACTAAGGCCCCAGTTCCAGCTGAAGAAAAACAGCCCCAAAGCATGATGCAAAAACAACACCAAACATATCTTTTGGAATTGTGGCCAAAAAGTTCAACCTTGGTTTCATCAGACCATAACACATTTTCCCACATGCTTTTGGGAGACTTCAAATGTGGTTTTGCAAAATTTAGCCAGGCTTGGATGTTTTTCTTCTTGAGAAAAGGCTTCCGTCTTGCCACTCTACCCCATAGCCCACACATACAGCGAAGGAAATAAGTATTTGATCCCCGGCTGATTTTGATTGTTTGCCCACTCACAAAGAAATGATCAGTCTAAAAATCAAAAGGTAGGTGTATTGTAACACAGACAGAATAGCAACAAAAAAATTCAAAAGAAATGCATGTCTAACAAATGATGACTGATTTACATGTTCATGAGGGAAATATGTATTTGATCACCTATCATTCAGCAGAATTTCTGGCTACCAGGTGTCTTTCATACATTTTGTCATTCACAAAACATGACTTAGTACTTGGTGGCAAATCCCTTGTTGGCAATCACAGAGGTCAGACGTTTCCTGTAGTTGGCCACCAGGTTTGCACACATCTCAGGAGGGATTTTGGCCCACTCCTCTTGGCAGATCCTCTCCAAGTCATTAAGGTTTGGTGGCTGACGTTTGGCAACATGAACGTTCAGCTCCCTCCACAGATTTTCAATCAGATTAAGGTCTGGAGACTAGCTAGGCCACTCCAAGACCTTAATGTGCTTCTTCTTGAGCCACTCCTTTGTTGCCTTGGCCGTGTGTTTTGGGTCAATGTCATGCTGGAACACCCATCCACGACCCATTTTCAATGTCCTGGCTGAGGGAAGAAGGTTCTCACCCAAGATTTGACAGTACATTGCCCCGCCCATTGTCCATTTGATGCGGATCAGTTTCCTGTCCCCTTAGCAGAAAAACACCCCCAAAGCAGAATGTTTCCACCACCATGTTTGACAGTTGGGATGGTGTTCTTGGGGTCATAGAAAGCATTCCTGCTCTTCCAAACAGGGAGAGTTGAGCTGATGCCAAAGAGCTCGATTTTGGTCTCATCTGACCACAACACTTTCAACCAGTCCTCCTCTGCATCATTCAGGTGTTTAGTGGCAATCTTCAGACTGGCATGGACATGTGCTTTCTTGAGCAGAGGGACCTTGCGGGCACTGCAGGATTTCAATCCTTGTCAGCGTAGGGTGTTACCAATTGTTTTCTTGGTGACTGTGGTCCCAGCTGCCTGGAGATCATTGACAACATCCTCATGTGTAGTTCTGGGATGATTCCTCACTGTTCTCATGATCACTGACACTCCACGAGGTGAGATCTTACATGGTGCACCAGACCTAGGGAGATTGACAGTTGTTTTGTGTTTCTTCCATTTGCGAATGATTGCACCAACTGTTGTCACCTTCTCACCAAGCTTCTTGGTGATAGTTTGGTAGCCCAGTCCAGCCTTGTGTAGGTATACAGTTAAGGAAATAAGTATTTGATCCCCTGCTGGTTTTGAATGTTTGCCCACTCACAAAGAAATTATCAGTCTAAAAATCTAATGGTAGGTGTATTGTAACACAGAGACAGAATAGCAACAAAAAATTCAAAAGAAATTCGTGTCTAACAAATGATGACTGATTTGCATGTTCATGAGGGAAATAAGTATTTGATCCCCTATCATTCAGCAGGATTTCTGGCTACCAGGTGTCTTTCATACAGGTAACAAGCTGAGATTAGAAGCAGTCTCTTAAAGGGAGTGCTGCTAATCTCATTTTGTTACCTGTATAAAAGACACCTGTCCACAGGAGCATCAAATCAAACAATCAGACTCCAAACTCTCCACCATGGCAAAGACCAAAGAGCTGTCCAAGGATGTCAGGGACAAGATTGTAGACCTACACAAGGCTGGACTGGGCTATCAAACTATCGCCAAGCAGCTTGGTGAGAAGGTGACAACAGTTGGTGCAATCATTCGCAAATGGAAGAAACACAAACAGCTGACAGTCTCCCTAGGTCTGGTGCACCATGCAAGATCTCACCTCCTGGAGAGTCAATGATCATGAGAACAGTGAGGAATCATCCCAGAACTACACGTGAGGATCTTGTCAATGATCTCCAGGCAGCGGGGACCTCAGTAACCAAGAAAACAATTGGTAACACACTACACCAACAAGGATTGAAATTCTGCAGTGCCTACAAGGTCCCTCTGCTCAAGAAAGCACATCCAGGCCCATCTGAAGTTTGCTACTGAACATCTGAATGATACAGAGGAGGACTGATTGAAAGTATTGTCATCAGATGAGACCAAAATCCATCTCTTTGGCATCAACTCAACTTGCCGTGTTTGAAGGAGGAGGAATGCTTCCTATGACCCCAAGAACACCATCCCAACTGTCAAACATGGTGGTAGAAACATTCTGCTTTGCGGGTGTTTTTCTGCTAAGGGGACAGGACAACTGATCTGCATCAAATGAACAATGGGCGGGGCAATGTACTGTCAAATTTTGGGTGAGAATCTTCTTCCCTCAGCCAGGGCATTGAAAATGGTTCATGGATGGGTGTTCCAGCATGACAATGACCCAAAACACACAGCCAAGGCAACAAAGGAGTGGCTCAAAGAGAAGCACATTAAGATCCTGGAATGGCCTAGCCAGTCTCCAGACCTTAATCCGATTGAAAATCTGTGGAGGGAGCTGAAAGTTCGAGTTGACAAACGTCAGCCACCAAACCTTAATGACTTAGAGAGGATCTGCCAAGAGGAGTGGGCAAAAATCCTTCCTGAAATGTGTGCAAACCTAGTGGCCAACTACAGGAAAAATCTGACCTCTGTGATTGCCAACAAGGGATTTGCCACCAAGTACTAAGTCATCTTTTGTGAAGGGGATCAAATACTTATTTCCCTCATGAACACGTAAATCAGTGCATAATTTGTTAGACATGCAATTCTTTTCAATTTTTTGTTGCTATTCTGTCTCTCAGTGTTACAATACACCTACCATTTGATTTTTAGACTGATCATTTCTTTGTGAGTGGGCATTCAACATCAGCAGGGGATCAAATACTTACTTCCTTCACTTTATGAAGAATGTGGGAGATTGTTGTCACAAGTAATACACAGTCAGTACTTGCCAGATATTCTTCCAGCTCCTTTAATGTTGCTGTAGGCCTCTTGGCAGCCTCCCAGACCAGTTCTCTTCTTGTCTTCATCAATTTTGGAGGGACGTCCAGTTCTTGGTAATGTCACTGTTGCGCCATATTTTCTCCACTGATGACTATCTTCACTGTGTTCCATGGTATATCTAATGCCTTGGAAATTCTTTTGCACCCTGACTGATCTCTTTTAACACAGAGATCCCTCTGATGCTTTGGAAGCTCTCTGCGGACCATGGCTTTTGCTGTAGGATGCGACTGAAGAAAATGTCAGGAAAGACCTACTAGAACAGCTGAACTTTATTTGGGGTTAATCAGAGGCACTTTAAATGATGGCTGGTGTGTACTGACTCCTATTTAGCATGATTTTTAATGAGATAGTTTAATTCTGAACACTGCTACATCCCCAGTTAGAAGAGTGTGTGCACATTTATGCAACCACATTATTTTAGTTTTTCACGTTTACTCCCTCCCCCTAAAATATTTTTTCAATTGAGCTGTAGTTTATAGGTCACATTAAAAAGGAGGAAAAAGTTCTGAAATGATTTATCTTGGTCTAATTTTTTTACATCACAGAAACCTGACATTTTAATAGGGGTGTGTAGACTTTTTATATCCACTGTATGTGGGTTACACCAAAAGCCCATGGGACAGAATTAAAAAGTTGAAGAGTGTTGCCACCATATAACAGGATGTGCCTCTACAAAGACCTTCATGGCAAGATCGCCATGTATTGTTTTAAAGTGGAATTAAACGCCGCTAACTTTTTTTTTTTTTTAAATGGGCTCCATGTTAGTACATTATGGTAGAATTACCTCTCAAATGCAGTCCTCTAGCACGCTGGTGTCAGCGCTCCAGGTGGTCCTGGGTGGAGGACTGGTTTTTATCACCCCTTAACCGTGTGAACTCAGCCTTACACTTGTGGTATACTGGTAGAATTTCAGCAAATACTTTTCTGCAAATATGGTTGAAATGTCTAATCAGAGGCAGTCACTGTTCGAGTATTCAGACAGCCACAGGTTCTGGTTTTTTTAATTCAATAGCTGGCAATGGACATTCCTCTAACCACAGTTTTTAGCAAGGATGCAGAAATCTATAAGTATATGGGCAGCCTTAGGCTCAGTTCACACTAGCTTTGTCAGCAGGCGTCAGACAGGCGTTTGGGAAGTGTTTTTAACGCTTCTCAAACGCCTATGAAAATTCTGCACATGGCAGCACACAGTTCTGTTCACACTGAAGCGTTAGCATCGCGGCAAAACTGACGCCTTGTGTGGAGTCAGGAGGAGTTGAAGCCTCCCATTCAAGTCTATGGTGCCGCTCCGCAAACGCCTGGCAGGAGTTTGCGGTGCGGTTGCGAGGCAGTTGCGGAGCGTTAATAACATTTAACTTCATTATAGGCATTTGTGGTGCAGTTTCAACCGCCTCAAAACCGTGCATAGGGCATTTGGGGAGTGTTAAAAACGCTTCCCAAATGCCTGTCTAACGCCTGTGAAACGCTAAAGGGGCATTTGGCAAGAGTTAGAAATAAAGTCAGGTGTGAACGAGCCCTTAGTGTCTTCTGCATGCAACACCTCTGGGAGTGTCATATGCCCTCCACTATGCTCCAGGACATAGCACCAATGTAGTGCAAGGGGCCCTTCTAAACAAGGGTCCAATATACTGCACTTCAGGCTTTTTTATTTTTTTTTTTGGGGGGGGGGGGGGTTGGACTGTGGCCACTAACAGTAGAAAATTGCCTGCCATCAGTGGCATTAAACAATGTCCCATCATTGGTTTTAGTGGCCCATTGTTGGTATCACTGAAAGCAATAGTGCCCCATGATGGTGTTAGTGGGAAGAATAGTGCACCAAGGGCTAGATAAAGGCAAGCAAAGGGCCACAGTTTGGAAACCACTGATATAGGGGGTGGGAGGATGGAGTCACATCACATGGTGGGGGATACAGGCATCTGACATTCCCAGAAGTGTTGAATGCCAAAGACTAGGGTGGAGGCTGCAGCACTGGAGCAAAGAGGAAGTAGAAGACAAGGGCCACCAGAGAGGTGAGTATAATACCTTCTTCTCTTGCTTAGACCTTTAATTTGTATTTTTTTTTTCTTCGTGTGTTGAACCAACAGATTTACCTTAAGCCACCCAGACAAAACAAATTCATCTACAGTAGACAACAAATCAGGAAGGTTGCTTAATGCAACTTACCTGTAACCATTTCAATGTTACCACTGAAACTTCCCAAGGAAGAGGCATCGAGTTTAAGACTGGGTGCCAAGGGAATAAATGCTGCAATTAAAAGTGATTTATCCATTAGAAGCAGGAAATAAAAAGGATTGGTTTTCAAGCTAGTTACTCAACACCCCCAACATGGTCAATTCTTCCTGTGTAAAAACATGCATTTACTGACAACTGTCACAGAATGAACATGTCTTACCCAAGTCTGAAGAAGAGGGGATCGTCTCCCGAAACGCGTCAGCTTATCCCTAATTAGGGCAGAGCATTGTATGGACTGCCATTGCGAATTACATATTCTGCTTTTTATTTTACCTTTGGTTTGTGAGTATACATCCTTTTGTTTACACATTAAATATGTGGTGTACCACGGTAATGCACGATGAGAGTGAGCCCTTGTTTGCTTTTATTTTGTATGTCTTAGCCAATGGTTAAAAGCAGGGGAGGCAGCCTTAACCTCCCTAGCGGTATGATTCTTTCCGATTTTTTGTGCTGAAAGCGGTACCATTTTTTCGCATGGAAATAGTTTTTTATTGTAGGCTGTAATTTTTAGGAACATTTCCCCACAAATCATTATCACTCAATTCTGCAAGTGGTTCTGATTTACTATCGCTGTTCTCTAGTCGGTCTAAAACCGCTTTTGACCTAAAGGGACGCTTTTTGGACGCCATGGACGTTTCTCAGTTTCCAGGCAGAAAGAACAGTAAAAATGCAGGCAGGGCGCCGGACAAAGCACTCGGGACAATATGTATGTGAAATGGGATGAAACAGCAATGCTTTACTATTTAAAATAAAAAAAACAAAAAACGGCATTTTTTAAATTTTTTAAATTTCCCGCCGCCGGAGGCGCCCGTACGTCCCGGGAACTGGAACACAGAAGCCGAGAGATACAAAGCAGCATGTTTCCCTAGTAAAGACTATATATCAAAACACTTGCTGACCGCAAAACGTATATATACGTTAGCAAGTGGAATCTTTTTTTCAGCCGACGGTCGGATTTCTGATTAATCGCTTTCCTGCCACCCTACAGAAGAACCACTGCTACAGGGCAGCTGGGCTGCGCAAAATCACATATATACACACGTGATTTGCATTTCCAGGTAGGGGGCACGCGCCACCATTGGTGGCTAGGAATGCCAATCACCAGGTCCCGGCTGGAGATTCCCCGCCGTGTAAGGCTGACAGGGGAGAGGCCTGTGTGTAAACAACACAGGTCTCTCTCCTGCCAGCAAGGACATGCTGCTTTGTATTTCTCTGCACAGCATGTCTCCCTAGTAAAAAACACACACACAGCACATAATGTAAAACAGCACACAGTTAACCCTTTGATAAC